GTGGGGTGTTGTGTCCCTGTGCATAAGCAATAGCTGGTATGTGGGAATAATAATACAATGACCTTGGACTTGGCTCTCAGCGAGACTCACCTGATGCACTGATTGGGAACAGTGACCACAGCATTAAGTACAGCATTCACATCAATGGAAAATTGCCCCAAAGTCCAAAACAATAATATTTGATTTCAAAAGAGGGAAATTACAAGGGAACTAATTAAGGAAGTTGAAAGGTGGAATTAAGAGTTGAATCTTTCCAGGAAGCTTGGAAACTATTTAGAACTGCACTATACTCAGATAGAATGCATACCTCAAGTTAGGAAACATATCACCATTGCAAAGTATCATTTTACTAATGAATATTCCCAACTTCTTTACTTCTGGACCAGATATTTGCTTTCTTCAGTCTTTTTAACAACCTGAATGGAGTTTGCTGGGGGGGGGGGGGAATGCTTCAGGTTGTTTTGAAATGCCACATCACCTTTCATTTTGTTAGTGAAACATGTTCTCAACTATTAAGATACCCATAAAACCTTCCACCCAAACTGTGGTTTGCATGTTAGGAGGTTGCATACTCTGCTTTCTCTCTCCTTTTCTCTTGTGTGCAGATTTCTTCCTCCCTTTCTTAGCTTGCTCTAACCATAGTGTGCTTTTATATCAGAATCAGTTAAACTGTTGTTAGAGCTAAGGAGGAATTGCCCACCAAACCATAACTTGAAAATAGGCTGTGTGGAGAACGAACCACTCTAATGAACTGAACAAACCTCCATGGGAAAAAAGTGGTTCGTTTTTGGATCCAAGAACAATGCGGCCAAACAAACCAGTTCTAAACGAACCATGAACTAGCCTGGTTCGTGCTCATACCGTGGTCCATTTCTCAGTTTGTGCCCATCCCTAATGCAGGTGCTTACTTTTCTGTACCTTTCACCTCTGTGGCTTTGATTTCTCTGTATTAGGATTTCTTGCTATGATTTTGCTTTACAACTAAATGTGCACTAGACGGAATTAATCTTTGTAATACAGGTTCATGTAAAGCAACGTCCACAAGAGAAAATAATAGTTCTTGTCTTTATCAGATGTCAGATAAACTATTTCCAACATAATTAGTTGTTGTAGATTTTCCATTGCTGTAGGTAATGACTCAGCCCTACCCCACCTTCTGGAGTAGATATAAATTACCCGCCTACCATTTTTTTCTTCTCACCTTGACACAGAGAGTACTCCATCTTTCTGTGTTATACCTCTGAGGATGCCAGTCACAGCTACTGGCGAAACGTCAGGTTCTACAATGCCAAGACCACGGCCACACAACCCGGAAAATCTACAGCAACTAATGAACTCCGGCCGTGAAAGCCTTCAACAACATATTTCCAACATAGTTAAGTGATGTTTGTCATCTGCGAATCCTCTCGTTGGCTTTAGAAGTTATCTGATGTTGAAACCCATAATCAACTGGTGTAAGAAAGTAGAAATTCAGTTCAGCTGGAGGAAATCCCTCATACAGGGGCCTAGTTAAATGAGGTGGTTTTTGCAGTTAATGGAGTGGATGATATCTGCGCGCCTTGAAGTTAGAAGAGAGGGCTGAATTTAACATGGTGAAAGCTTTCTGTGCAGTCAAGAGAATTGTGTGGCCTTCAGTCAGGAGCCAATAGTGCCAGAAATCAACCTGTTTCTTTCATTTCTTTTTTGGGGAAAACAATCTATCATGGTCTGAATGCTGAGCTAGGAGTGCTTAGGGAAGCATTTTCTGGTACGTGCCAGATCATTAGAGCACAGCTGCTGCTGTGAGAGTAATTAATGGAAGAGAGTTGCATTTTTCTGAGATGTAGTGTATCTTTATTTGCAAAGCCATGTGTCACCTTACACTTCTGTGTTGCAGGATGGAGTATGCAATAAAATGTCATGGTGCTCTGTAAATAAAAAATGCTATACAATTTGATAATTGAGATAAGAGACTATTTTAGAAAAACAAACCCTGCCACCTAAATTGAAAAAATGTAAAGACTAGATATAAGAAAAACATTGCAAAATTTCATCTTTTCTTACAGTTCCATCCTGACCAAATCTTTTTTTCAGCTGTTCTCGCTTAATATATTATGTCATACCTTTACCATCCACTTCTGTGTTTCTGTACAGTTTATTTACAGAAGTTCTGTTCACCACATTCTTCATTCCTAGTCACACAAGCCTTATAATGGCATAGATTCTAAATACTGAAATGACTGCCCAGAGGCCAAAAACAGTTATTTTGGATACTTCAGGATGCGTATTCAAGATGACTCCAAATTATTTTTTACACAATTAATTCAGCATAAAGACAACCTATTGGTTTAGTTATTGCAGTTGTAACTACAGACTAGGCTGATGCTCAGACCATACCTCTAAATATGCATTCTCAAATTTACATTGTTTCTTAATCCAGGTTTATAAGAAGGCACATACCTGGTGGCCTTTGGTGAATGAACATTTTTTCAGGTATCCAAGTAAAAAAGCTTCACAAAATGTGGCTGCTTGTTTCTGTTAGACCAGAAATAATTATGTGAGTATGTGGGCTGCTAAACATTACTGTAGGCTGATAACTCCTGTAGATTTGTTGCAGCACTGGAGAAGATATTGCATTTTTAAATTTTGATGACATTTGTAGGTAGCTGTACTGATAAAACAAAAAGAATGTGCCATTCTTTTTACAAGGACTTACCAAATGCCACAGAAACAGTAAGCAAGCTTTTGAGTTCTGTGGAACACTTACGTCAGGCTAGATGTAGGCCAGTATCTAAGTCCCATGCTTTGGTAAGGAAAATGGGGACAGGGTTGTGTTTCCAAGTATAGTTCAGCCCAGGCACTAAACCATTAATATGATAGTGTATTTACATTTCTTAAATAAAATAGATTTTTCAATTGTATGAAGATTACATGTACAGAAGGAGGTTTTGTTATAAGATGGTACCAGACTGTTATGTTGGGGCCCTGCCAATATCATACATTTGTGAGAACTGTATCCCTTTTTCTGGAACCAGGAGCTAGGAGCTTGTTCTAGAATATTTGAGTATGTGGAGGCATAATAAATTGTTGCTGTCTTGAAATGCTGGGAGAGTCTAAAGAAAGAGGCACCTTAAAATAGGTGGTTCATTTTGGCATCTAGAACTAAAATAAATGGGAACATTCAGTTAGGAACACATTCTGGTATGGAGTGGTGGCTGATAGATGTGTATTATATGGTTACCAACTTAGGGTTGGGGAATGCCTGGAGATTTTGGTGGTGGAGCCTGAGGACGGCAGGGTTTGGGAAGAGGAGGGATTTCATTGGGGTATAATGTTATATTGTCCACCTTCCAAAGTGGTCATTTTATCCAGGTGAACTGATCTCTGTCACCTGGAGATCTGTTGTAATCCCAGGAGATCTCCAGCCACCACCTGGAGTTTGGCAACTCTTGTGTACAGAGAACACTTGCCTTTATTCCAGGCTTAGTAGCTTGTTCACATGCTCAGGGAACACTTGAAGGCCAGCAGTGATGTCATAGTTGCCAATCTCTTGAGAAGCTTGGCTTTAGAATTTTTGCGTATATATAGTGAATTATCTCAGCTGCTGCTCAGAGATTAGTGTAGCCATCTTTTTAGTACAGAAACTAAACTAATGTATACCAACACTCCAGTGACCCATACTAACAAAACTCTCTTTCCAGCACTGACTGCAAAGGGTTTAGCAGGAGTGGTTAAGTATAATTCACACCTTTCATTGTCAGATTCACAGATTTCTGGCTCCACATCAGTGTTACAAGTGTGTTAAATATTTATTGGTGTAACACATCCATTTAGAGCCACTTCATGTTATAAATGCTATTGTTTGACAGGCATCTTTTTTCTTTTCTCTAAATTTTAGTAAACCACAGACTACAATTTACATTTTACTCTTGAGTGCATGCCTTGATTACAGTTCGTATTCTGGAGCAGCTTTGCCTTTCAAACACTTCAGTTATTCTCTGCAGAAACAAAATGGGTTACAGTGGAAGGGTCAGAGGGAGAAAGCCAGTCATGCTTACTAAAAGCAGTTCTAATTTATTTTGCTGGCCCTCTTTTCAGAGCTACCTGATATTTCTGAGTTTGTTTCTTGGCTCCAAATCAGAAGAGAGAGAAAGCTTGTAACAGACAGTTGCATCCAATTTTCCTTAATCATAGAAAGCATTTTAGAGAAAAAATTTTCATTGCAATGACAATCCATGCATTTTGGGGAGCCATGTTTTTCACTTGGCTTGAAATGGTGGGTTTAATTTTGACTCTTCCCATACCTTGTAACATGAATACATGACACTGCCTAATACTAAAATCAGGATCAGTATTGTGTACTCAGATGGGCTCTCCAGGGTCTCAAGTAGAGATCTTTCATATCATCTACTACCCGATCCTTCTGGAGAAGCCAGAATGGCGCTGTCACACCCTCCCCATGGGCAGCTATGGTGATGGCAGCTATGGTGATGGCAGCTATGGGCCACTTGCCACTTGCCCAGGCCCAATTGAGCTGGTTCCAATGGTGGGAAGCATGTCAGCCCACTGGGATTTTTCCTGCTGCTGCTTTCCCATTAGTTGTATCCTTCAGTGTGCCGTCTTCTTTTTCCTTGCATTGTTTTGCTTTCTCCTTCAATGTGTTCTTGTTTGCATATATTGCTTGCAAGATCTCCCTGAGTGTCAGTCCTCTCCATCTGTCTGTTCAATTGCAACATCTGCTAGTATTCGGAATCATGTGATTTTTCTTCATTCTCATCAGTGTTTTCTGTCTAGATCATAAATTAACTTTTGTAACACTTGACTTAGGCTCTCTCTTTATCAACTGACCCACTGCAAACTGATTATAGTGTGTGACAGTTATCTATTTTATAGCAAACAAGATCATTTGTTGGTTTCCTGTAAAGTACTTCCTGATACTCAATTTAGTATTTGTTGTTATCTTCAGGGTTTTGCAATCGTTTTTAAACTACATAATAACTTGCTTTGTATTTTTTTTGCAGCTTCAACACACACAATGTCAGCAGAATAAGTGAGACACCTTCTAGAGCCTGCCATGAACCATTTTGAGGGACCGCCCGAAGGAGAGGTGAATGGCGAACTAGCAACTAGGGAAGTGAATGAGTCTGTGGAGGCGGACCTGGAACACTCTGAGGTAGAAGAGGAACAGCAACAGTATGCCATTCATTACCCAAGATGTGCCAATGGCAACCATGAAGGACATTCTAGACAGGAAGAAGAGGGCACATTAGCACGGTCAGCAAGTACCGAAAGCGGTTTTCATAATCACACTGATACTGCTGAGGGAGATGTCATAGCCACAACAGAAGATGGCTATGAAGGCGACAGAGTCCTAGAGAATGAGGATGAAAGCGCCTATGCAGTACAATACAGGCCCGAAGCAGAGGAGTACACAGAAAATGCTGAAGCAGAACATGCTGAGACTATTCATAATCGAACTCTTCCCAACCACTTGCACTTTCATTCCATTGAGCATGAGGAAGCCATGAATGCCGCATATTCAGGCTATGTGTACACCCATCGGCTCTTCCATCGAGGGGAAGATGAGCAGTATGCAGAACCCTATGCTGACTATGGGCTGCAAGAGCATGTGTATGAGGAGATAGGAGATACTCCTGACCTTGATGTCAGGGAAGGTCTTAGGCTCTATGAACAAGAGAGGGAGGAGGCTGACAACTACCGAAAAGAAGCTTTGGGAGCCCGCCTCCATCACTACGATGAACGATCTGATGGGGAGTCTGACAGTCCCGAGAAGGAGGCAGAGTTCGCACCCTATCCAAGGATGGACAGTTATGAACAAGAGGAAGATATTGACCAAATTGTGGCCGAAGTCAAACAGAGCATGAGTTCTCAGAGCCTAGACAAAGCTGCTGAAGACATGCCAGAGGCAGAGCAGAATGTGGACACTAGTAATGCTCCTACCAATGTTCATCATGAAAGCAACAGTCAACTTCCAGTTGGCTCTAAGTCTTCTGCTAATGTAGGAGAATCAGTGCAACGATATAGCAAAGAAAAAAGGGATGCGATATCACTGGCTATCAAAGACATTAAAGAGGCTATTGAGGAAGTGAAGACTAGGACCATTCGTTCTCCTTATACCCCTGATGAACCCAAGGAACCTATTTGGGTGATGAGACAAGACATCAGTCCAACTAGGGATGGTGAGGATCAAAGGCCACTAGAGGAAGATGTAAGTATGCCACATTGTTAGATTACATTTTTATGACAATTTCCATGGAAAAACAAATTTCGTCCTGTAATCTTTACTTTGACATTTTGATATTTGGTATTGTTTTTAACTGCTTTTGAAGCAAAAGGTTACACCACTTAAAAAAAATTTCCTGCATAAAGTGGTATGTGCTTATTTGCTGCTTCACTGATTAAATATATTTGAAAATCAAAATTATTACCTCCCCTTTGGTTACCTCATAATGTTTGCTGTAATATATTGGTAACCAAAGAACATAAAATATAAAAAAACACCCTGATTTACATATGGTTAAGGTAAGGGATGTAACCTCCTGCACTAATCTCAAACATTTGATATAATCATTTGATTCTGACATACATAGTGTGTCACTGAATGTCTGTATAGACTCAATTACAATTTAACATCAGACCATGATTTGGTGGTCTGTGAAAAAACCTGAGGTTCACAGGCTTCCTCTTTACCGTGCACACTCACGTTGAGTTCTGCGATCCCTCCTTTCCAGTTTCAGTGCAAACCATTGTTTTGTGGCATCTGAATTGGCAAACTGTGGCACGAAATTGTCCTTATACCCTGCTTGGTGGTCTTAAACTAGCTGTTTCTGAGCCTTGCCTCATCTCATGGTATTGTTGTTCTGAGGGTAAAACTGAGGAAGGGTGGGATAAAAACAATAGTACTCCTGTGTTTTGAATGCCTCTGGCCCCCGTCACACAGGGGGGAAAAGGCACGGCCAAAGCACGGCTTTTTTGAGCCGCACCAAAAGAGACGCGTGGTCAGACAGATCAGACAGATGCCCCGAGCCGCCATGCAGTTGCTCCCCAGCATGATCAAATGCCGGGGGGGGGAGCCACAGAATGGAGAGCGAGGCAGCCGGCTGCGCATGTGTGTGCATGAACAGTTTGGCCGGGAGCCTTGAATGCTGTGGGAGACGGGCGCGCCGGTGATCCCACGGCCGCCCTTGCTGCGGAGTTTCAGGTAGGTAGTACTCTTTTCTAGGTTTTTTTTTTTTTATGCACGGTTTCGCCCGGAAAGGACGGATCGGGGACGGGTGCGCTCCGCTTACCAGATGTTGCAGTGTGATCGCGCCTGTTTGATGCGCTCCCCAATCCGTCCCTCTTGCGGGGCAAAACCTCCTGTGTGACTGGGGCCTCTGATTACTTACCAAACTTGAGTCTCTGTGTTCTTATGAACCAGGGTAATTTGTAGTTAGTTAGAAAATACATTAGGCTGCACCTGAGTCGGGTCAGCTGTTATTTGTACTTCAGTCTGTAGTAGGATTGCTCTCATCTCGTTTTGCAGAGTGACCGGTTCAGTTACAGCAATCACAGTTTTTGTGAATATGCTCTTAGGTTCAGTCCCAGACAGTAGATCTGATATGAGGACTGGGTTGTGGTAAGGCTTCTCCTGCTGGTGAACCTTTAGTCTGACATGGTGTATGGCAGTGCCTTATGAACAGAACTGGTGGTGGTAGTTCTTCTCTTTTCCTCCCCCACATACACATTCAATTTATATACCGCTCCTTCCTGAGGGCTCAGAGCGGTTTACAGAGACATTTTTGAACCTAGCTAGGGCCACAGTGTAAGGGGTGTGTGTGAAATGCCTACCAGGCACCCAAGCAGCGGGGTTCTGTTGTTCTTTCGGCTCTTCAATGGAGTCGGCGATGGAGTCTCGGCAAAGTTCTTCTTCCCACAGCGACTCCTTCTTTATCAGTTCCCCAACCACATATCTTTTATAGGGAATGTGATGATTCACTGCAGGCAAACATACGCACAATAACAGAACCCTGCTTTTTGTCTAACGCAAATCATCCTCCATTAGCTATCAAGATCAGATTAAGAATGGACATTTTCCACCTCCAGAATTACTTAGACCTCTTTTAATAACCATTTCAAAAATGCCAGTGCTATTGGTTCTGTTTTCTGTTTGTTTTCTTCAGCATATTCTGCTTTACAATTGCATTGTAGATTAAATTAAACAGGAGTCCAGTGGCACTTTTAAGATTTTAAAAACAAAATTTATTCTGGCATAATCTTTTATGAATCAGAACTCACATCATCATCAGGTACCTGATGAAGTGTGCGTACGCATGAGAGCTTATACCCAGAATTAAACTTTGTTGGTCTTAATGGTGCCACTGGACTCAAACTTTGTTCTGTTCTCAGATACGTAATACTGAATGTTAGGCAGAGAAAATTAAAACTCTAACAGTACAACCTGGAGCAGACTGGGAAGTGAAAATGGCCATGGAACTAGCTAAACTGAGTGGCCCTGTGGTACTACAAACCAGCTGTGCAGGGGTCACTCAGCTCAGCAATACAGACAGTATTAGCCCACCCATTACTTCCTCTGGCAGCAGTGTGGGAAAAGAAAGTTGATGAACTGACCAATTACCATTGCTGATGAAGGGTAGTCCCTAAAGCTCTCATAGAGTTGCTAGAGCTTGCTTATGTTCGCTCTAAGCCATCCGTGACACTCTAGGACGGTGGCCCACTGAGATATTTCCCTGTACATTAAATAGCAAACCCCACCCCTGAGTACGATACTGATATATGGAATGAATAGTCAAAGAGTGGAGAATATGATCCTTGTGTTCCTTTTACCAGTCTTTCAATTTACCATGCATTGAATTCACTGCAATTTGCTTTTCTTTAGAATCCCCTCCTCCAATTACTTAGTAGCTGACCAAACAAAATTATAAAATAATTAATGGTTATAATGAAGATATAGTCATTCTTCTGTTAATAGATATTTTAGAGGGGAAAACCAGGCTTTTAATTCATATTGGAAATGTAATTTGGGAAGACTTCAGATAAGACTGAGTTACAAGGAAAGAAGCAGGTGCAGGTATTCTCCTCTTACTATTCATCTTCTTGCTACTCAAAGGGAATATGTTCAAACCCTATGCAGGGGCAACTTGAATGTTTCCCACAAAGAGAGATGCAAAAATTCTATTTTTAAATGAAATAGAAATATCACTCAATGGTCCGCTATATGTTTGCCAAAGGATCCAGCCAAAACATAGGAGACATCTGATTCTCAAGGTGTTTTTGTGTAGTCACCAATCTTTTGTTAGAATCCTAACTTTTGAATTTTGGCAGTCTATAGTGTGTTATACACATGGAAGATACTGGTTTTGAGTACTTGAATCATCACTTTTTGAAATACTTTTTATTAGTATTTCAACAGAATATGCAAGAATGAAGTGATAGCAGTGCAGCTTACAAACAGGGCAATTTGACATAATGCATTGTTACATTCGCATTACTATGTTAGATCTTACAATCTGTCATTAGATTCCTTGTAAGATCTAACACTTTTTTTTTTTTTGAATTTGTAAGATCTAACACTTTTGAGGGAAATGCTTCTCTTTCTTTTAGGTCAGATTCATTTTGTTTTTAACTTAAATTAAAATTAACAAATTTCGTCAGTTCTCAGTCTGACACTAAAGCAGCTTTGCAAAGCATCAGTTTTTCCACAGCAGGGTCAATCTATTATTAATAAAGGGAACAGAGAAGGTTGCATTGAATAATTGAGCAAGTTTCAGGTGTTGCAAGAACCTAAATGAATGTTACCAGCGGTATGGATATGTTTATGTCTTTACTGTTTGCTAAGCAAAAATTTCAGAGCGGCTGTTGAGAACACTTCCAATTGATACTATGAACCCCTAAAAATTATGCAGTAAGCCAACTAATATTGAACAATTTAAAGGTTTGAATAGTTAATAACTCTTGCTAGCTAAATGTTGGGAAAAGGATATTGAATCATTAAATTGTTGTGTGCGAATGCTTCAACTCCAACATTTGTATTTGATGTATAAGGAAGAAGAGAAAAGCAATTCATAGCATGTTTTTAAACATTTTTATTTGACAGTAAATGTTACTGATTTCAGTGGTAATTATTTCTAAATATGTGCACATGATCCTGTATGTGTTTATAACAAAGCAAGTCCCACTAGATTTTCTAGGATTTGGTGCTAATTGAGTGCACATCTGATTGCAACCTTGAGAATGTATTTGGGTTTTGTAGTATACACCCCTCGTATGATGAATAGTACTTGGATGATACATGTTATTTTCCAACATGGGTGTTGCACATACATAAGTAGTCATTTTCCATAGGGCTCAAGTGCACTCCAGGGACCTTCAGTAGTTTTTACTTCCTCACGAGTGCCACTTGAGACTGAGGACTTGACCAGGGCCTTAGAACTAACACACTCCGTAGACAGGTAGCAGCTGTGGCCTCAGTTCTGCATCCAGTCAAGGGCAGTCCTCTCTCATGCCACCCAACCATCAAGCATTTCCTCAGAGGAGCAGCTCTTTCCATCTGCTTCCTGAAAATTTCCTGTGGTTCTTCAAGCACTTACCAAGCCTCCTATTTGAACCACTGTGAGAGGTATCACTCAGGTTCCTCCTGCTTAAGATGTTGTTTCTTATGGCCATTACCTCTGCCAGACACTTCACAGAATTGGAAGCTGTGAAGATTCCTTCTAATTGAGGTAGAGGAGGACGTCCTGGACCCACCCTGATTATAGGGGAATCTGATTGCTTGTGGATAACAGCCCTCTTGTCTCAACTTTTTTCCTGCTGTTAATGTTAATCATTAAATATTGTTTCTTCTCTGAAGAAGGGTTGGCCCTCTGGCCTGTGGGATGCAGAATTCTTCATCAGGGTAAACAAAGGATCCAGATGGAGAACCACCACATCCTTCTGGAAAATTCAGAAACCTCTAGCTGTAAATAGAGCTCTCACAATTGTTTGCAGTTCTTTGTGGATGTGTAAACACACACCCCTACTGTGAAACTAGGTTTGTAGATTTTAGAGACACTTCATAGTTCTATAAATAGGGTAGATGGGGCCTGGAGAGTTCTCAGAATTACAACGGATCTCCAGTAATCAGAGATCATCTCCTTTGGAGAAAATGGCTGTTTGGGAGGGTAGTCTCTATGGCTGCATAAGTGTCAAACATGCAGCCCGGGGGGGCGG